GCGCCCCCCCGGTGCTGAGGGGCGAGGGTGGGAGGGCGCCTGCTGAGTGTGCTCCGCATTGTCCGCGCCGCCCGGGGCCCAGCCCGCCTGCGAGGCGGGTGTTGCCTCCTGTTTCCTCCGCTTGGCAAGTGGTAGGTCTGGGATTGGAACCCAATTCGCTAAGGAACCATGTTCTTTCCTCCATCCCGCTTGGGGACATTTTAACCAGCAATGAAACCTTATTTCTAGGTAATTACTTTCTCTGTTTTTTATTTAATATGTTTTTATTGATTTCAGAGAGGAAAGGAGAGAAACATCAATGATGGAAGAGAATCATTGATTGGCTGCCGCCTGCAGGCCCCACACCTGGATGGAGCCCACAGTCCGGCCACAGCCGGGAATCAGCCGGTGACCTCCTGGTTCAAAAGTCCGTGCTCAGCTCCGGAGCCCGCCTGCCAGGTGGTAATTCTTTCTTTAAAGGATGCTTGTAGATAGAGACTTGGAATCCTTTATCAGAGAATGCTCCTGTTCCTTGGCCTCTGCCTGGGGTTAAGTGGGGCAGTGTGGAGGGGAGCTACACTGGGTTTGGCCAGTGCAAAACCCTGTTAAACAGACAGCAAGTCCCAAATGGAATCATTTGCGCCAAGCCCATGTCTCAAACTAAGACTTAATACTTAACCTAATTGCTGTTTCACTTTCTCCCTGGAATGTAACCTTTAGCCATTCTGCCCGGGGTTACCTGATAGACCCCTTCCGTGTGGCTTAGGAGGGCTACCTTGTCTAAAACAATGTTCTTAGCCAATCATTTCCTTTTCCCACCCCTTTCTACCTTTAAAACCATTTCTTTTCTGCAGCTGGGCTGAGCTATTTGCTGGATGGGATGCTGCCCAAGTCATGAATCAGTGAATAAAGCCAATTAGATCTTTACATTTACTTGGTTGAATTTTGTGTGTGGTTTTTGTAACACCCTGCTCTAAAGCAGGAAGTCTGGCTGGGTGGGAGAGTGACACTCCAGGAGGAGACTGTCTTGCACGGGGATAGTTCCTCCTGGGCTGTGGGTCTCCTTTCAAAAAGCAGGTCTTATCACCCTGTTGGCCCTCCTGGAGGTCCCAGCTTAGGAAAGCCAGCAGAGAAATAAAAGAACAATCTCCGTTTATTAAACATGGTTTTTCAGTTTCACCACACACTCCAGAAAAAAAGGAAATGGGGCTGGGAGTGGAGAAAAAGGGAGGGCGGTAGGGGTAGAGAAGGCTGGGAGGGGGGTTGGGTAGGGAGGGAAAATGAGAAAACAAAATAAAACGGGTAGGGAGATGCCTCTCCCTACCCTAGGGTGGTGGGTGGGGAGGGTAGCATGGGGGAGGGGGCTAGGAAGCTCTGTACACAGGGGTTGCCCCCAGCCCCCACACACACACCCCAGATATGTACAGTACAAACCCCAGATAATTACAACAGCCAAATAAGAGGAGAAAGGGGGGGTCCCAGGTAGGGTCTGAGGTTGGGAAAGCAAGGAAAGGGCACAGGGATAAAATTTCACATATTTACAACTTTTATATAAGTATAAATTTGGCCCCGGCTGGGTGTATGTGATTAGGGGGAGGGGACTGAAGGGGAACTGTCCATACAAAAGAAAGAAGGGTGGAGTCTGCGAAGTCTCAATACCAAACGCAAGAAGGGATGAGGGGGCAAGGCTGGGTAGGGGATAGCAGTCAAGGAAGAGGGGTGTCAAGAAGGGGGTTCTCCCCTCTCATGACCTACCCACCCCAAACCCCATCCATCCTACCTCCCCTATCCCGCCAGAGAGCTATGTACAGAGAAACACCGAAAAATTGTGGAGCTGGCGGGAGGGAGGGAGGGAGGTGGAGGGAGATTGGGAAGGGGGGAGAAGAGAGGGTAGCCCAGCCCTGTCCTACCTCCCCCAGGGGACAGAGTCATGGAAAGAGGCCCCCAACACCCCTCTTCCACACAGGTCCCCCCACCCTGGGGGAGAGAGACATGGCTTTTCCTAGAGTAAGTTCCCCCGTCCCCCTGGGAGTAGAGACCATGAAGAGAGAGGGGAGGGGCAGGGGGGGCTGTGTGTCATGGTAGGGCAGATCAGCTAGTCTGTCCTCCCCAACATACACACCCTCCTAAACCCTAACCCCTCACCCTAACCTCAATTCCACCCCACCCAACACACTGGGGGAGGGGGGGGCATCAGCCCCCTCACCCCGCTCTGGGACCAGCCAAGAGCAGATCAGGTGTGGGAGAAAGGGGAGACAACTCCCATTCCCCCCTTGCCGCCCCCACCCTGCCCCGGTGGCCCCTCCACCCCATCTGGGTTCTGGGTGGGGAGGGAGTAAATTTAAGAGTGGTAGGATGAGAAGGAGTTTGTGCGTGCTGAGCCCCCCCAGACGCTCCTGAGAAATCAAGGGGTAGGGCCCCCTCACCCGGGGTCCCCTCCCCATAACAAGGGGGACAGGGGAGGCCAAAATGGGGCAATGGAGGGGAATTAGATTGTCAGTTCTGGTTACTGCTAAAAAATCACCCTGAAGTTGAAAGTTTGGAGGTGCCACACCCCCAGGGTGGGGGCGAGGGTCTGTCCCCCAGTGCTCAGGGGAACGATGAGGCAGAGGATGGGGATAGCACCCCGGAGTGAAGGGGTCAGTGTGGGGTAGGTGGTGTCCTGGGGCAAGGGTCCTCAGGGATCACAGGGGGCAGCACCCCAACAGGAAGGAAAGAGGGGCAGCTAAGGGTCCCCACTCTCCCTCCTGGAAACGGTGCAGTGGGGGTGGGGGACTGGTGCCCCCCAGGAAGCATTCAGGGAGGCAGTCCCGCTGTCCTTCGGCGACGTCCAGTCCCCGTGGTCGGTGCTGTCCGAGGTGGAGTGATGGGCAAGGAGGTCTGTGATGCTGGGTGGGCTAGTGGTCTGCGGTGTTTCGGAACTCGCCGTTCTCGGTGATCTGCAGCCGGGGTGGGGGGGGCGGGACTGGGGGGGCCAGGCCGTTCCAAGGTGGGGCCAGCGTCACACGCGGGTTTGTTGGACCCAAGGGGGGAAGCTGCCTCTCCTGCAAGACACCAAAGAGGAGAGCGCGGACTTATTGAGACGCATCGCAGTGGCCTGGGTGCCAGCCCCCTCGCAGTGGCCTCCCCCAAAGCCAGCCCATGCCATAGGCCACGCCCCGTCCTCTTCCCCCAGGACCACCACACACCCCCTCCTGTTTCATTTCTCACCTTCAGTAGAAGTTCCTTCTTCTGGGATCAGGGAGAAGGAATCTTACCCCAGACTCCTAATCGGGCCTTCAACCCAGGAGTCACGGCAGGACACCAGCTCAAAAGCAAGTTCCTCCCCCTCCCCAACCCTTGTTCCTCCTGCCAGCCCACCTCCTCCTCTGGGAACCTTCTCCCAGCCCACCCCCATCCAAGGTAGGAACTTTGTGTTGAGGGAACAAGGGGAGGCAGTACAGCAAAACCTCATTAATCCAAACCCCCATGGATTTGGAATTTTTTCATAATTTGAATAAAAACTGGGCTTGAGTTTTCCTTTATCTATGAAGAAAGGGTGTGCTAAGCAAATTAATAGTGGCAATGTGTCTGTGGGAGGAATATTTAACCTATACCAGAAAACAGACTTTTCAGTCCTATCTACTCATTAACGCATGCTCCCTGAGGGCGCGAGGAGAAAGGCCTATTCGTTGAAGTTTACTTACTGTATATATTTGAAGACATGCATTTCATTAAATAGACACTGTCATTCAGTTTTGTCACTTATTCAGAGTAGCCATCTTCTCAAATATAACATTCCAAATTAGAGAGGTTTAACTGTACTGGGGGGAAAGGAAGGGGATTCAGGGAAGTGACGTGGGAGGGCTGCCTCTCTCTCTGTCTCTCTCTCTCTCTCCCTCTCTCAACAGCCTGGGAGCCCTGCGGACACAGCAGGCCCAACCTCTGCAGCCACAGGAAGCGCACACGCTTTATTCCTTCCCACCCCCGCGTTCCTTTCACTCCCTCTCCCTGGGCTCCCATTAAAGGTGAGGGTACCAGACCCGACCCCATCCCTGGTCCTGTATCACCCCTGCTGCTCGGCCCTCTGCTGGGAGAGGAGAAGGCAACCATTGGCACTAGGCTTCTGGTTGCTCACTTGCCTTACAAATACGGGCACAGGGTAACCCGCTTTGGGCCCCTGCCTCCCGCCCTCTTGCAGCAGGAAGTCTATCTGTCCCCCAATAAATTTTGTTTCCGCCAATAGAAAAATAAAATCCAGGCGCAGAATTCACTTTTAAATTAATGGCTGCGTTGTAGAGCAGCCAATGCCTAAAAGTGCTTTAGCAAAAGCTTCCCAATTACGTCCTGGGCCACAGGGCATTTAGGCCTGGCCCCCGTTATGTCTGACCTTCTCTCTGAAGGATACATCCTCCCAGGTGGAAGCGCCCACTCAGCTCTCCCTCCCAAATCACAGCCTCCAAACCCCCAGCCACAAACAAAGCTGCCTCGCTTGCTTCCCACAGTCAGCAAGGGAGGGAATGGCGGGGGCAGGGAAAGAAACCTTAGATGCCGTGCCGGGCATGCCCCCTTGTCCCCATGGACCCCATTTAGAAAGTAGATAAATTGGGGTGCCATTACTCATTTTCCAAAGGAATTCGCTGCAGGAGCCCTTTCCATGGCGAGGTCCCCAGTGCCTTTCAGCGTCTGTTTACAGACCACTAAGACTTGGACAGGAGGCTGGGCAGGCAGTTAAAGTGACGGTGCGAGGAGCCACTGCCTGCCGCAGACCAAGCCCACAGAAAATAAGGCGTTCGGAAATGAGGTCAGTGGCCGATGGGTTCCCTTGACTAGTGTTTTATGTAGGATGGTGTCTGCAAGGCCACTGGGTGGCGGGAGAGGGGGAGCGAGTGGCATTAGCCACCTGGGATGTGAGCTCTGCCGGGAAGAACAGGGGTTATTTAACATGCTGCTCCTGACACCCATCTGGGGGCAACATGGCCACGGAGCCCATGACCTTATCGAGAAGTGGTCTCAGCCCACTGCCAGCTGTCACGCCACTAGGGCCAGTCCGCGTGCTCACACCTGTCACGGCTCCTTGCTCCTCCTGCTCCACTCACCCTGCCTACTGGCCTGACATCTGAACAGAAGTCTTTCCAGGCCCCCAGGACCTCCCCGAGTTAACGAGCTCCTCCTAATTCCCACCTAATAGGGCTGCATAAGAGCCCAGATGCTTTCTACCTCACAGATGCAAGGAGAAGGAGGAGAGAGAAGTGGGTGAGAGGTGGAAGGAAGGAGGGTAGAGAACGAAGGTTAGGTAAGGAAGAGGAAACCCCAACCTACCTGCTGTGGTCAGAACAGCCCCTCTAGCAAGGGTGCCCCAACCCATCATCACCACTCCCCGTTTACAAGCCCCACCCCAACAGCCCCAACCCAAGGACGCTCTGGTGAAATGGGGGGTGACAGACATACACTGGAGAGGAAGAGGAAGGGGCTGACAGTAGGAGGCTGGGGATGGGGTCGGTGGGAAAGGAGTGTGGTCTGGCAATGCACGGCCTCCAGGGTAGGTGCCTGGCACTTGAAGGAATCACCTAGCGACCGGGAGGCCGCGGGAAGCTCTCTCTGGGCAGTGCCTCGGGAGATGGTCTGTGCAGAAGGTGCCAGGGCAGGGTCTGTGGAGTGCGCAGGTGCGGGCAGCAGTGAGGGGAAGGCTGTGGAGAGTCGGAGGGGAGTGGGCTTCGGGAGTGACCAACCTGCAGTGGTCCGGAGTCACCTCCCCCTGTGTCCTCCGCCCGTGGTCAAAGAGCAACCCGGAGAACTACCTGATGAGGAGCTGCAGCGGGAGAGAGTGGGGTCATGGGGTCAGGAGCTGGGAGGGTGGGAAGCCTGGCCGGCGGAGCAGGAGGAAGAGCCTGGTGGGAAAGTGAGCAGACTTGGGGGAGAGCAAGGGGCAAGAGTGCATGGGAGGCCCTACAGCTGGCTGGTGAGAAGAGGGAGGGCAGCAGAGAGGTGGAGAGCTAGTCAGGTGTGAGGGCCAGAGGCGGCTGGACTTACACCCCGAGGGCGGGAGAGCTTACAGGGTGGGAGGGTTCAAGTTCTGAAGAGCCAGGAGGACTATGCAGGGGCTGCCCAGGAGTCAGGAAAACTGGGGAGCCAAGAGAACAGAGGATGGAGACCCCAAGTCCCCAGGGCCCCCGGAGCCTGGGGGAACGAGCAGTCACGCTGCCCTGTGCTCTTTTCTAGTGAAATGCAGCGCTCGGCCAGGGCTAGCCACCCGCCGAGAAGAGCGCTGAGGAAGCTGAGCCCGGGCAGGAGCAGGCACAGGAGGGCAAGGCTCCAGGAGCTGGGTGTGGTGTGGGGCAGAGCGAGGTTCTCGCAGGTCCTGAGATGCGGACAGAAGTGGGAAAGAGGGCGGG